CACACACACACACACACACACACACACACACACACACACACACACACACATACACCTTACTCAGCTGCGGAACACGCTTTGCTCCAGAAAGTACAGAAGGAAGCTTTGACTTGATAGAAGTATAAAAGCCTAGACGGTCAGAGTATAAGAACGTATAGATAAAAGCCAATAGCCCTGCAAGCACAACTGTTGATTTTTGATGCACTATACAGGTTAGTGTAGTGTTGTGATAAGCTTACGGCTAGTCACGTCGATAATACTCGCATTCTTTCTTGTGGCATTTGGTAACACCAAAACGAATCGGAAGAAATATAAGTGTAATATATTTAATGCCCCTTTCAACACTGCAATACTATTGTGTGTGTTTTTGTGTGTGTGTGTGTGTGTGTGTGTGTGTGTGTGTGTGTGTGTGTGTGTGTGAGTGTGTATGTGTGTGAGGAGGGATCTCCGAATTTAGCGTCCATTTCCGATAAGACCCAGACAAATTGGTGGACAGTCTTAAAACTATTCAAAACACCCCAAACTCAAGAACGCCCCTTTAGGAATTGGAACCAGGGCCATCCACATCGGAGCCCAGTAAGATCTAAATTAAGCTAACGGAGCGCCTTCACAAGGAATAAACAACACTAAAGCACGCTCCACTGTACTGTAGAAAAATACTGCTAAAATTGGAGAATTTTTGGATATAACAGACTCCAGTTCTAGTGAATGCTGGTACCGCATCCCCCCCCCCCCCCCCAGTCTCAACTCGTCTTGGCAAACATCCGGTCTACTAAGTTACGTCAGTCGGCTTGTCAGTTGTGGGGAAATCCCATGAAACCTCATTATTGAGTTCGTGTCTGACTCGAGGAAGGGACATTGTTTGTCACGCCGAGTCCCCGAGCTCGTGCCAGGGGCGGAGCGAGGTGTTGAGTGATTGTAGGCTGAACGGAAGGACTGATAGAAGAACCAACTCACCCATGTGTACCCGCGCAAACGCCGCCTTCATATTTCTAGGAAAATCCGGATGACAACAGAGACAGTCAAACATAGGTAAAAGCCTATGTGAAACAGAGGAGTCGTCGGAGTGTATTTATGCGTTGGCATGTGTGTCAGTGGCGGGGCGCCATTGGTGCAATTGGTGCAAGCGCTACACCCAACCCTGGCCTTCAGCCTCCCCCCACTCCCCTTTTTTTTCTAATTGTTCTAAACCAGTCTGCGCTCTAGATCTACATTACTAGGCTACTTCCTTTCGATCCGTCACCCGCTGGCTGCGCCAGTGATGTGGCAGACAGCGAGGATGGTTATACTCGTCGCACCGCTTGCGGTAGTATCTGCTGGGAGCAAGCAAAATCTTTGCACCAAAGTTATTTTTGTCACTGTAGAGAAATCTAGGCATCGTTCTTTTCGCACAAGAAGAAAGGTGCATGAAACTGCTCTTCGCAGCACCAATTTGGTGCAAGCTAAAAATCTGATCCAAGTTCCGCTAGCCTTTCTAGCCTACTACTCTATAGTCTACAGTAACTCAATGAAGAATGGGTATCGAAACTGTTGTCTCCCTCTATTGTGCTGCACGAAGTAATTACAAATATAGACGTCTTTAAATCTTCTCAGATTGTGAGCATAATGAGTTGTTAGTATTGGTTCATTTTTATTGTAACTTTTATGCGGTTTCATCTGGAAGCAGTTGTAAATGTTGGTAGATGTTACGGGATATCCTGCAGATTCTAATTGACTTTCTTTAGAAATCTTAATAATAGTTTAGTAGCTACTAAGCCTATTGCCCATTTGCTCACTTTCCAATTATGCACCACCTTGTCTGCAACCCACGCGACGCCACTGATGTGTGTGTGTGTGTGTGT